TATCATCCAGTTAAATGGAAAATTCTCAATTAAGACTTACAAATCGGTAGTTCTGCAGGCCCATGCTGGTCGAGTCCCCAAAATTTAGCCATATTTGTTTTTCCTCTCTACCTGGATTCCTCAAAGCGACGTTGGTTAGAAAAGTTTCGTCCCTGGCTTATCTAGATTCTTCACACTTCGTTAACATTCACCTACGTAGGATTATTGGTAAATTAGAGTCGCACTCTACCAGTCGTCTACAATGATATCAGACTGCCAGGACTTCAAAGCACTTCAAAGTTTTTGTATGCCTATTAGGAAACTTCCGATAGTAACTTTGAACAGAACCCGGAATAGCAGTATTTCTTTATGGAAGAACCTTATGATCCTAAACCCAAATGACTAAAATATGAGGTGGGACATCACGGGTTTCCTTACTCAAGACCTCACATCTCCCTCGTCATCGTCCCTGTCTTCATCGCCATTAGAATAGCCACAATCGATATTATCGCCATTATCCGCAGCAGCAGTAGTTTCTTTGTCGAGTAATTTAACCACAACCTCTGGATGCACTCCGACTGTGATTGACACCGCATCTCGTAACCTATCCATCAAGTTTGATCGCTCAAAAAATGGATAGCGCTAACAGTGCCTAGATTTATCCTAACGACTTTGGTGTTATTACAGCTGGTCATACGTTTTCTTCTACGTAGCATGGGTCACCAAAGATCAGACAGCTCGAGTTCCCTTGGTTGAATTCTTCTTCAGCCAAAACCTCTTCATTTTCGAGGTAAATTCGTACGGCAGCTCGGAAATTTGATTTCTTATTTGATAGCGCACATAATCAGCTTTACTTTGGACGTCTTTGGTTTTTCTCCTTTTCCCTTTTAACTTCAAACGAATGAACGGCTAGAAGACACGGTTGAGGAGTACACAGTAACCTTAGTCCAGTACACTACGATATGCTCTAAAAAGCTTGTTACTGTCAGATTCAGTCCTTTTAAATTGGACATGTAGAACCCATGACTAGGTACGGAAAGGATTTTCTATCCAATATACAACTAACTGAGAAGACCGTGCAAATGTTTTCTACTTGCGAAATTTTCCCAACTGCCGATACATGTAAAAACTCTCAAGTGTAAGGAACCTGTTCAGTGACTGAATTCTCTGAAGAAAATCAACGTACCTTGCTGACGCAAAGCTCACGTCAAATGTGCCATCGTTCCGCTTAAATGACAGCGCCTTCCCTTCTGTAAATCTTCAAAAATGACGTCGAATCTCTTGCTTGTTCCCGAAAGAGGGCGTAAACGCGTTTATGACCGACATTTCTGTAATGCCCGTGTACATTTGTAGCGTTGTCTTGCAGTTACATCCCATTACCGACTTGCCCCACTCGTAAAAGACAACCAAATTTGCCCAGATGGGCGTCAGTAGGTTGAATAGCGACATCCTTTAGCAAGGCCTCAACGAAACCGTTAGAACCAGAATTACACTTGTGTGACAATATGGCGTCAGAAATGTTACCACGAAACAGCGGCTTTTAAGTAAATCTGCTATAATTCAGAACGATTCCAAAACAACCAGCAACCCGATTGATCCTCTTGCCTAGAAAATTGACCATTAAAATAACCGACTAAGAAACTCACTCAGCGGATGAAGTCCAGTTTGCTTAGTAATTCAATTATTCTATCGTAAGAACAATTCGACTGTTTTTTAGAAGTCGACAAATCAATTTAAGTGTAACAGCCCCCATTAGATGAGCATGACTAACTCCTCAGACAAGGTACCTGGTGAAACCTCTAAACGTTTCGCAAATAAATCAGACAAGAAAAATTACAGTTGGGTGGAAGTTGATGCACAATCATTGAAAAGCCAGTGTGGTATGAACAAAATTTGAAAATACGTTTTTTCTTGCCATTTGCTTGCGATTTGCCATTTTTCTTACCAAATACGCTTGAAATGCTATTAAGACTTTGGTCTTTTTATCAGTACTGTAGGCAGTCTCTGTGTTTAGGTTTTTTAATACTGCTGAAAGATTAACTCTACACAGTCTCATATAGCAACTCGTTTGGGAACTTTAAAAACCCTTCTTTTACCGGTATCCTATTTAATACAACAATGGAACGCTGGTCACATTAACGAAACTAGAGCGTTGCAGAGAGGTCGGAAGCTTCGGTAACCAAGTGACCATCAAGTTCAATCATCCGTACGATAAGAGAACTTTAAAAGTAAGAAATGCCATTTACAGGACAATTGTGAGAAAGAGCGATGTTTCTGGACTACAACTTGTATTGGTTGTTGATCAGGTGGCTGTCGATTTGTTCGCCTAACTTGGCAACAGAGCTGCATGTTTCGTCACCAAAAAAATAGATCGGTGGACAGTATCTAGTAGCTCCAGTTAAATTCGTCAATTTGGTCGATTTGCTCACACTACACTACAGGATCAAAACGATCTTTTTGAAGGAAGATGATCATTGGGCCAGTATCGATCTTCTCATCACGTGGATTGGTGTAATCACTAGCGCAGTCCCATGCATGAACTACTGAAAGACTACTGAAAGACATCATGTATATCGTAGTCACATATCTATCTGAATGATTCGTGAATGGCTACCATGACAGTTGCCAACGTCCTCTCTGTTTTTTATGGCGTGAAACTGTCTAACTGTTCCACAATGCAAAAACAGGGCAAAAAACTTCATCTAATATTCTTCCTCTACTTGATCATCTGGATTCTTCCATGCTTGTAGAGGGTTGCTTGCCTAAAAGACGTTTTCTATGGTCAACTAGAAAGATTCATGCAATAGTGTCTGCTAACGCACAGTTGTGCGGAAGCAATTACATGTCTGACGCCTTTCCTCCTCTGCAAAGCTCCCGTCACGTTAAACCGCTTAATGCCGGTAAAACATGTTGACTTTTAAGCAGAAGTCCTGTGCGAAGATCATGTGCACGAAACTTTCATAATCCATTTTAGTGGTACCTTGAGCAAGAATCCCAGTGGCTTGAGCCAAGTTACACGATAATAACTGGAGTAGTTACAAAACAGTGAAGAGCATCTGAGCTCCTATTTCTTGTTTTTTTTGTTTCTTAGTATAATGACAAACATAACATCTACCATTTGACCTCGGGAAATCCTCTCAGTAGATTACGGTCTTTCTACGTGCCAGAAAAAGAATCTGGCCCTTCAGGAGGGAACCCTGATAACCCAGTCATTCAGCCCATTTTGTGTACTGAGCACATCTGAAAGCGGACTTTGTTGTCGGCAAATTTTCAATGCATAAACATTCACCCACCCACCCGCACCTTTTTAACCGATAAACAGCCAGTACTGAATCTTTTTCTAGGGACCATCACTCGCAGACCCTGAATTAATCCACCAGAAGGAAAAAGATAAATTTGGTACACGTGCTTGCATCAAAGGGTCCGGAAAATCGCCCAACGGTTCTAGAGTTCAACCCCAGACTGACAGCCAGTGCACGTGATTTTGTTGGTCTTACTGACCGTAGGGATCCCTGTCGGGGCTACCATCACTTTATGTGATTGACAACAATTGCTAGACAGCGGTTAACAGTCGCTAAGCACAAATCCCGGAACTACCTCCAAAAGCCTCGTGAATTCTGGGCATCAAGAATAAGTTAGCTCTTTGAGAGGGAGCATGTTTTTAAGGGACTTCTGCCGCGGTAGTAATTGAGAGTTGTTTTTCGCAGTCCACTGCGAAGATGTCTATTCCACCTCCAAGTGTACGGCATAAATTTGTTTGCTAGTATTTGGAACGATGACGGCCGGGAGAACGTCATTATGAATCGATGCTCCAGCAGCATCCTGTTTCTTCGAAATCTGTGGGCACACACCAGTAAAATTCACTAGTTTATGTTATCCTTAGCGTTCTTCACTTTCATTGAATGATGATGCATCCGTACAACCAATTACTCATGCATTAATGTAAATTCTGTACTCTCATCTCAATTCCCTGGGCAACCGGGAAGCGAGAGACTAATGGAATTAACTGGATATTGATTGCAATTATAACGCTTCATTCGGAAAGTTCTAAAAATGCATAAGACTTCACTGGTCAAAGGTCAGACGTTTACTGTGTTATTCACATACGATAATGGTTTACAGTTTGAGTAGGCAGTTTTGGAATTGTTTTTATGACAGGGAGCGCAAATACCGTTTTTTACTCACTTCCGTTTAAACCCTCATTGGTCAATCACTGAAGGCTACTCGCGTTATTTTATGAGATTTTTGTGTTTACAGATATTTGTTTGAATGTGGAATGGTGTTTCATGTTGTTATTTTGAAAAGCCATACCTGTTGGATTAGGAACAAATAAGTTTACTGAGAAGCCAGAGACTTGTCAAATCTGCCATGCCAGCCATCTGTAACCAGTGTATGTTTATCTTGTATATTTACCTGGTAATCCAATAGTCTCAGTCGACGTATTTTGCGGATGTACGTTGACAGACGTTTGATCCACAACTACCCGATGAATGTGACACCTCACCCTAAATAGGTGACCACTCACCCCAACTACTTCTCCTTTAATACTCAAGTTACAAACATGACAAGAGTTGTTCGATTCTTCTGACACCCTATTTCCGTTTCGTTAGAAATTTCCCACCCTGTTTAGGGTAAAAAGACCTTCATCTACTTCCTGTCGGTTCTCAGATGCAAACCAAACCATTGTCACTCTGCGTTTATTTTTCCGTTCAGTGTGACTGAACCAAACGAAATTTCCAATATCTTTGTGCGCAAAGCAGTGTGCTCTCAATTGGCTTAGTCACTGCGGTCCATGCTTCACAGCAAAAGCAGCTTGTGACAGCAAAAAATCATTGCAAAGCTTAAAATTTTGACAAAGCGAAGATCAATGTATGAGTAACCAGCTGAATATATTGCAAACGACACCCTTACTTGATCACATATAGGGTCGGAAGTATTGATTATCACTGCCTTGCTTATATTTGGTCAAAAGCTTGGCATTCATTCATTCAGCCTTTATTTTTCACCTCCCATTTTTCAAGGTCCATGTGTCTGTTCAAGAAAGCCGGGAATTCGTCGTCACACGGTTGGTCGCTCTGGATAAAGACAGTGGTCCAAACGGACAGGTTCAGTATCGTATAGCGCGAGCCAATGCATCTCATGGATTACAAATTCGTCGGACAACTGGGGAGCTTTACGTCGAAAAAGATATGACAAATACCAATAAGGTATGTACGTGCTTTACCACGTTCTCTAAAAGTTAAGTCTGCAAACAGTCTCCCAAGAAGGTGAACAGAGCATTTTGCCAGAGCATTGTTTGGGAAGAATTGGACGGATAATCCCAGCCGAGATCTGACTACTGATCACGTTATAGATTACGAATTAGTGCACCCAGTGGTCCTCATATGAATGCGTAGCAGAACCTAGTGCTAATGCTGACGAAAAATAAGTCTGTCACACATATAAGCGCAAGAAGATTTGTTTTTTACGTTCCTTCGATTGTTTTCAGTGAAATAAACATTTAGAGCCGTTTGCAGTAAAATATGACATTTTGGGATATGCTGTCGACGAATGTTGTCAACCGCAAGCCAGCCAATCATACACAATTTTTCCTTGAACTCAACAGAAGCAGTTCATCATCTCTTGTCGCCTTTGCTAAGAAATAAAGAATTTATCAAAGTCTCAGGAGAGTTCCGGTTTCAAATCTAATTTGCCAGTGAATATACTTGTTGTTGAACTTGCGTCCACCTAATAATAAACCACTGGGGGGGAGAATCTACCGTTTTTCATTTTGTCAACATATCATGAAAAAAACACTATGTTTCTTGGAATTTCGTCGACCAGGGCTGAATATGATAAGCTTGCTGTTCGGCTTCAAAGTGTTTTCTCGTTAGAGTGTCTCCATGGCTTGTGACCAGTATGCTGTCTATGCCACTGTGACACTGAAACGTTTACGAGAATCGCGCAGGAGCTGCATGCATGAACAAGAGCGTGAATGTTGAGTCATGTAAGGAGAACAGTGCGAGAGCGCATAACTAGCACGATGACTGCATGGAAGCTCACTTGGAGCATTTGACAGACGATACAATAAATGAACACACATCTTTACCAGCTCCTAAAAGATGATTAATCAAGTTTGTGTTTAGGGTTCCTCCAAAATGTCAAAACTCTCAAATGATTGATACTACAAGCCGTTGTTGGTTATACAAATGGCATGCGGCCAGTGAACGAAGTCGGTCTGTGTTCAACTCTGATTGTCTGTTTAATAAACCCTATGAAGCTAGCAAAACCCCGAATTCTTCTGGTCCAGGCGTCACAACACAGACATATGAGTTCGCCTACCGACAAGCTTCCATGAGCGCCCACTTAGGAACGTGCTACCACTCAGTGCCGGTCATAGACTGGCATTAGACCATCCACATGTCTGGGCCCTGGCAAGACATTATGGCGGACGAATGGTAAAATTAATGATGACAGACACCTACACTCGTCTCAGGACAATGCGAAAGAGTAATCACTGAGGACAACACGAGTTACTCCCCTGCAGCTGGTCCACAACAATTTGAAGCAGCAATTGGACACTGTGAAAACAATGCAACGGTCAAGTGCACAGCAGCCCTGAAAACGAAACTGCGCAAATTCAAGAGAAAAACGGATTCAATAATTGCGATGGTTGGATCAAAAATTGGCCTAGACGCTAACTCAGCACAGCTGAACAAGAACTTCTGATCAGAGGTTTCAACTTCAGCGTCAAGCACGCATCCTGTAAAGATGGCCTAACCAGCTTACGACTACCTTGAAAACTAATGAGGACGTACAACAGCAAGCCATAAAACAAATGTACCAGCCATCACAAGCAACAGATATTTGGCTAGTTTCCAGACAAGAAGGAGACTTGCTCAGAAATCGTCTATTTTATTCTTCAATAGGGATTTAATCCCGTCGGTGAAGCCAATCCATGCTGAAAAGCCAAGAAGCAATGTATAACTGTTTTGTTCTTGCCGGGAATCATCAACAGCGCGTAGTTCACGAAACTCAGATTTGCGCACAGCTGATGATTCCGAGAAAATACTAAATGACGCTTCTCGGCTTTTCATCACTGATTAGCTTTACTGACAGGACGAAATCTCGGTTGAAAGTTATCAAAACTTCCCATCATCATCATCATCATCATCATCATCCTCATCCTCATCCTCATCCTCATCCTCATCCTCATCCTCATCCTC